TAAATACAACTCGGTACAAGTGAAAAGTGCAACTAGCGTGAGTGGTGCCAATTATTAGTCACGTTACAGCACGTAATACAATATTAAAACCTATAGGCTCTCGAGTGAATTGAAAAACGAATAATCAGTCGGCGGCGACGTTGCACGTGGTCTGAAAATCTGAACATCTCTTTTTTTGAAAAATCATTCGACCATTGTTTTACTATTATATTATATAATAATCAAATCGCATTCGATAGAGGTCATACGATAATAATAGCGTTACTCAATGATTTTATGGCGTTTTCGATTTTTTGTCAATATTTCGCACGTGGTCCTACACGCCTACGGAGCTTCTCGCATAGTACTCGTATCATCCATACACGACCAACGAGAAAGTTTCTTATGTCCACTCAAAAATTTAACGTTTTTTCCATTAACCGTAGAAAAAATGGAGCCTACAATACTTTTGGGCCTTATTTTAGCCAAACGTGTAAGTTAACATTATAATTTATAAATAATTAAATAAACATAACTTTAATTTTTTATTTAATATTGTAATATTTTAGTCCTAATGAATACGTTTCCCTTTAATCTTGACTATTTTTCTTAGATAGCTTCAATTATTTATGATTTGTACTTTTTTAGTTATCTGTAGATGTTATTATAATAAGTTTTTGCACGAAAATTTATAAAAATTAGTTTTATTTTTTTTTAATACGAAACATGATTTATTTTTTATCAAATATTTTAGAATAAATTACATTTAATTTGAATAAAATCGGTTAAAATACGGGTCCCTTACTCTTATAGACTTAAACTTTAGGACCCCATTTACATCATTTCGGGGGATACCCGGGACATCCGGCACCCCCAATGCACATTTTATATTACACCTAATATAATAATATGATCAGACTTCAAATAATAAATATTGGGTTAGAAAAAATTTTGAAATGCAAAAAATTAAACCGGAAAGCAAATCTTATTAGTTATTGGTTACTATGTTACTTGTATATTAAATTTTTACAGAGTGACATTAAATATTTTCTCGATATCGCATCAGGACAAAACAGTCGAACCCCTCTCACGAGGGGTGCTGCCCCATTCCGATTTTAACAACAGACTAGGCTGGAAGAATTTCCGTCATCGAATGCGTGATATATTTACACCACACACGATAACTATGATCTTTTGCAATACGTGTTATTGTGTACCATCATTGTGTACACGCACGTACCTTAGTCCGTTGCAAATGTTGTACCGTCGTACTCTTGTTCGTATTATGTGCACACGTGTGTACACTACACATAGAATTCGAGGGTATCGTCGAAGTGATGCCGGGGTGGCGTACGTATCAGCAGGACGAAAGAGAGATAGAGAGATATTATGCCAGCGATGAGACCAGCTGATAAAACTCGACGGGGGATAAGGGACAAGATGACGAGAAACGTTCGAGAATATCTATATGAGAAAATCGTTCGGTACCGGCCCGAAATCGACGAAATCAAGTATAAACGGTCTTGCGGTAGGTAGGTACCAATAGTGTCCGGTACCTCAACAGTGGCACCCGAGTTGTTTTGAACTCGTAGAGCGTAAACGTATAATAATATCTGATCCGAAGATCGCACGTATTTTCCCGGTGAACCGTAACGGAACCAGTAAAAAACCGACAAAAATGTGTGCAAGCTTGTAAAGGCGAGCACCCCAAAAACGTGTAGGGCGATCATGGGTTTCGGTAGCCCCCGTGTACCTGCAACAGTGCTATGACGATCCTCGTGGTGCCGCTCCGGACCGCTATGGTACTGACGGTGGTGGCCGGCGGCCGAGCGTTGCGCTCCATGACGGCACCGCCCGGCGCGGCTGCCGCTCGTCTGACGTGCCGCGCGACGCACCCGTCGATTGCACTGCAACTGCAGCTACTGCGCTCACCGCATCGAGGCGAACGCCCGGTGCCGCGCGCGCGTTCGAAAGTTTTCGGCGGAAAAAAAAAAAATAATAATAAAAAATTCAAACAAAACGAGTGACGACGACCGCGGCGCGATAACGTGTACGGGGATGGGGAGGGCGGAACTGTACGCGACGGCGGAAACGGTGACGGCGGCGACCGAAGAGGAGAGGGGACAGATGCGACCGATCGGTCCACCTGGTTCGGACTGACTGCACGCGTTCGAGATGACCACCGCACACTATGCCGCACGACGACGGTCGAGGCGCGAAACCTCTCCCCCCGTGACCCCTTCCACTGCGGTCGCCGTTTGTTGTTTTCGTTTTCACGCGCGTTCGACGCGACATCGAATTATAACGATAATTATAATTATAATAATAATAATAACAATAATAACGTTAATAATAATATTAAACGTATGCGTATCCCGTATTCGCGTGTAAATATTTTAATCCGTACACCGTCACCGCGTATCTGCCGTGTGTGTGTGTGTTTTTGAACGATTGTTTTTCTACCGCTGCCGCACAACACTGGTCGCGTGGGCGTAAATAGCTCCAGGTACGTCACGGTTGCGATGTTGTACACACGTACCTATCACAGTGCAGTGGCGTGCCGAATATAGGTCTAAATGAAGCCCAGGCATCAAGTTAAAAAGGGGTGGGTGGTTGTTGGATAATAATATGTAAATCACATGATTACCGTATGTATTTAGGTGGAGAAATATTGATATACGAGTTCTGAATGATATGAATTTAAATATGGATGGGTGGGTTGTAAACTAGACTTTGCAATTGACATCAAAAAAATTGTTATCTCGGCACGCCACTGTCACAGTGTATTAAGTGAGTTTTATGAAGATATTATGATATACAACCAGAAGAGAAGCCTTTTTCGCGCAACGTTTACTAGACTTCGATAACTCCCCGTCCCACGTGCGTACAAAGAACTGCGACGAAAACGGTAAATAACACGAATAGCTACTCGCTCAAGAGTGCACATTACCTGTCACGAAATCTGTTACAAATCGAAAATTGTGAGAACATTGCAAAATGTGTTGTCTACCCTCGGGAATAATATTTATAACATAGCGATGTAAAATATTTCATCCAGACGTTACAATTAACGGGCATGTGGCATACGATTTTAATATTGGTTTGGACTCTTTTAGTTGAAAATAACACGTTGTTGTTTTTTTTTTTTTTTTTTAATACGTTACGAACCATATTATTCTACGAAAATAATGCGTTTAGTTTTATATTTATAACTCCGCGCGGCACTGTTCTAGTAATGCAATTTATTATAATATTATGTATTAAAATATAGTATTAATATCTAAATGTAATGCTCTAGAAACGTTAAATTAAAATAGCTATACTTGACGTCCATCGTAATAGAACGGAAACGTTAAATTTAATATCTATTCAACCGAATATTATTTTTTGGCAAACTGTTTTCCAAACGTGTTAAAATATTTAAATAGCTTGCATATTATCTGTGTTAATCGATCCACACATTTTCTAAATAAAAGCTATAAATTACAACTGTATAGCGTACTCACGTACTGTGCTATTTGCTCGTACTTATTTAAATATATTAAATTGAGAATTTCTCTTACGGCCGACCCGTTTACATTTTTAAACGTTTAAACACTCGCATTTTTTTTTTTTTTTTTATTATTAGAATAATATTTAAACTCATACATAACATTTTATGTTTGTCGAGTTTTTCTTATGCGCTAAGAAAACATGAATTTCGATTTTCAATAGTAACCCATCATAGTACATTTTATTTCACGTCTTGCCAAATTTTATAATTTATTTGTTATACCTACCTCCCTAACCAATTTTTATTAAAACTTAAGTATTGAAAAATAATGCGTGCAAAATATTTTTCATATGTATCATATATTTCACCATTTAACACATGTTGAAAATTAAATTATTATGAAACAAGCATTTACGTTATGATGAAAAAACCATAAAAATATATCCTGTGGTAAACAAAAATATATGGAATAATATTCTTAGAAAAAAAAATTGAACCAAAAAATAACACCATGACCAATCGTACATTTGAATAATAACAAAAAAATGGACAAATGAAAAAATTATATTATTCACGTTGAACAACAAAATAAAGTTTTTTTTTTTAATTTTAAATGTAGATAAAATTTAAAAAAATTAATATTCACGTTATATATTTCAATATTTAACATAAATATATTATCTATAAAATTATTGTATCATTATTTTTACACATGTTCGAGTACATATTGTAATATTATAATAGATTATAATATAAATATTATACATTAAAAATACTTTAACCGAATCATTTATTAGTTTTTCATTTTCAAAATTACTTTTGAATAATGAATGCTACGTTGAAAAAATCTAATTCTCTAGAGTCTAAGAAATTTTTAAAGAATAGGAAAGTAAGAATAGAAAATTAAAAATAGGAATGTGTCTAAAGGAATTCATGCGGAAATATTTATTAATAAAGTAATTAAATATCGTACTTAATTTTTATTTTCAATAAACTTCAACATCGTGTCCCGTGAGTACGGCTTATAGTTTAGATCAGACGAATATTAACCGCTACTAAAATATAATAACTACAGATGACTCATAATTATAATATTCACGTAAATAAAATAGAAACGTAGAATGTCAAATCATCAAGTAGAATTACCATCATTGGGTTTTTATTTATTTCTATGTAGTTTTGAAAAATGCTAATTTCTAACCAACATGTTCCATGATTTGTATACCAACATGATTGTATACCGTTTTAATTTAAGCCCCGGTTTGTCTCTTGCGGTTTTTATGCAATGAACTGTACACCACAACACTTGTTAAGTCTCACAAATGGAGTCATAAAAATTAACGATGTAATTAAAATATAAAACAATAAAATAACTCAAATAGCCAGAGTGTAGCTAATTTTTTGACCTTTCTATGTTGGATGTATTCGTCATACAAATGCAATATAATATAACTAATAATAAAAAATGCTTTGATGTATTTTATCATCGGGCAACGGATTTAGAAATACATATTAGGTAAGCACTTACTTCAGGCTGTGGCGTTTCAGTTCGTTGTATTGGTGTTTCTCTGTAAATAGATTCGTTAGTTTCCACACATCCTCGAACAGGCGATAACATCAATCGTCTGGTTTGTAATACTTCTCGGACGACAGTATCCATATCGTACTGAAAAAACAAAAAAAAAAAAAAAAAAACCAAATACAATTTTTACGTGCACTCACATAACATTATTTCGTATTATATAATTTAGTTCAATAAAAGAAAATTGTTGTAAATACAATTAGTGAAACGACCAGTCTCGCATACACGTAAGTCGTTTCAATAAATATGCTGCGAATGGTAGATATTAATTAACATATGTATAGCATTGTATAATTTACATTTTTAATCAATATTAGTAATGATAAAATTTTTTACTTATTTAAAATTAGAAATTAGTAAAATAAAATGTATGAAACCTCAAACTACAGTACATAGTTATGTTATAATATACTCGTATGATGCAGTTGCTAGAATTCTAAACCCCATACGACTTAATGTAATACTTATCATTAAATAATTGTTATAAATACGTATCATCATGCATTCGCGATATACGGTAAATATAAAATATTGTAACACAAACGTGATACTACTTACTTCGTCATCTTGATCAGATGCGACTGGCGTGCAAGAGCCGTACGAAGAAACTTTTGAACTTAAACACTCCGAAACAGTATAATAGTCATCATCGCTCTCCATTGTCCTGGAATAGAACTAATGTTTAATATGGTTTTCATTGAAAGAAACAATGCGAAAAAAATTATGGCCGATCCCTTCCGATTAAACAACAAAGCGAAATTACTATGTATCATCAGTATAAATAAAAATAAAAAAACCCGAATTACACGTAGGTATGGCTTAATCATTATATTGATATTCAAATATATAGTAGTAAGATATTTATATTTCAAACGGAATAATCTGTTACTTTAATCTGGTATTTTTCTGTTCGTTTTTACAATTTTAAATATTGTGATTTATATTAACATTATTATTTATATATCATTTTTATATATTTTTTTAATAAAATGTATTATGATTCTTGCAATTGTTAGTATGGATCATGTATAATTCGAACAACAAATTACCTAATTAAGGCGGATAAATTTTCAACGGAAATAAATTATTATTATGATTAATTTCCTATTTGATTGTTTATATAAACGCTGTTCAACTTAGGAAGGCTTTTTGCCGGTTCCTTGGTCTGTGACCTATATAATTAAAGCTAAAAATAGATGCCTGAATAAAAAAAAAAAGATTCGGGAACAAATCGTACCATGACTATCGTTTTATATTAGATATAATTGTATGTTTATAAAAAAAGCTTTCTCGTAAAAACTGAAAACGATAAAAGTATAAAATCTAACATGTTTCACAAATATTTTTTAAAATTATTTATTTCAATGCTAAATGAATGTACCTACTGTTTACTAATTTTACAGTTTCAGTATTTATAAGTTACCGTACACATTATAGCAATATAAAAATAAAATAAAGAAATATGCTATACTTCCCAACTATCATATTTTATAAAATCAATTATTTAAGCAATGACAAATATTAAAAATAATATTACAAATAAGAAAATATTATTGCAATTTTATTGTAAAGATAAGATAAACTTTCGACGCTAACTGGTATTTATAAAAAAAAAAAAAAAAAAAAAAAAAGTAAAAATGTATTTATATTTGTATTTCTTGTATCAAAATCGTGAAATATGAAAATTATAATATTATTTACGTACAGTATAATATTAATAATAATGTTATATTTTGATTTTAAAAATTTAAGTTCCTATCTATATGCACTAATAGAATAAAAATAATTTCATTGGAAAATTATTAGTTTTTAAAAACGATAATTTCAACATTTAAAAAAATTAACGAAAAACGATAAGTAAATTTGTTTTCTCAATGTCTATTTGAATAAATTAAATATTTAAAATACATTTTTATAATAAGTTTGATATAAACATAGTTTTACACATTTTATAATTTATTAATAGTAATAGTTTTAACCTTTTTCAATATCATTACTTTATAATACATTAACCTCTACTTCTTGACTATTGAAGTCTAAAAAATATTTTAATTATTTGTATTGTTTCATACGTTTATTCCTTATATAATTATATAATTAACATTGTTGAAGTTATTTATATTTTTTATGTAATTTATAAATACAACATAATGCTTGTTAAAACTATTTTTAATTACAAAAATACATAATATAATTGTTACACAATTAACGCGTCTTCGTGTTTTAACATATAAGTTGCAATAAAAATTAAAGTCATAAATACAAATTACTAACACGTGTTGTTCTATTACTAAACGTACAAATCTACAATATTAAGTAAATAATGATCAATTAATCAAACTGGAACAAAAATATTTCTGATGTAAAAACATCTTAACATTTATTGTAAATAAATACTAATAATCGCAGAAAACAATGTACAATAAATAATATTATTAATAGGTATAAAAAACATAAATCAATGATAATAGGTACTTATGTATTCATCACAAAATAAACTCTTTATTGAGGAATAAATCGATTTCAAACTATAAATAAAAATTGTTGGTAGTTTTATGATATATTTTGAATGATGAAAATACCAAAAAAAAATGTTTGTTACATGACTGAGGAATGCCGACATAAACTATTCATATTTTAATTAGTTTTTCGTGTTATTTTTGTTTAATATCAATTTTAAAAAAATTATTTAAGTACTTAAAAATGTTTGAACAATTTTAAAGTAGCCATATTTTAGAGTTTGAAATTTTCTTCTGAAAATTAATTTGAATGGTTCAATGGTTCTTGTGTGTCATATAAAAATAATATTATTTAATCATCTTAATTCTATTAGGAGATATTGTAATGGCTATATCTTTAGGGACACCTTAAAACAACTACAATATAATATTATGTCTACCATGTTGAAACTTCAATGAAAACTAAACCCACAAAAAAACACTGTAATATCAGTCACCTATTCATTTTCTTATAGGACCCCCTACTGTTGCACGTTGCCAACGGCCGTTTCTACTGATTGATGTAGAATACTATTGTTCTCGTCTTCGCTTATATGTGTCTATTTATATGTACACTTGAAAATTATGTGCCCACGATATTTATATTAAAAGCGAGTTAATACGAATAATCTGGATCGAAAAATATATATGCACGGACCGCAAAATTTATATATATTATGATATGTATTATGTTATTATAAATGTTATGTAAATCCTTTATTCTGTGTATTATAAACGATCTACATACGGTATTTATTGTATGCTATAACCACAATGTATACACTTATTTCATTGTTATTATTATTTGGTTATCCGTATTCCATTGTATATTAAAAACGTAAATTTCTCTCAGTGTTTCGTCTGCACGAATATATAATATTTAAATAACACACATTAATATTATGTACAAAATCAATGCTTAAAGTATATATTATCAGGGGTGGATTGTAATTCCGAGAAATTTCCCAAACGGCCGTCAATAATGTCAAACAATTGTCAATGACTAGGATATACCGACAATTCCTAAATTTTCATCTTTTCCAATAACATACGAGTATATATACATATATAATAATTTTTTTTATTGTATAATAAGTAGTTATATAAATTTTATTTGTGTATACACTGTATTACGAAATATGTAATATTTGTTTTTCGTAAGTAAAATTAGGTTTTTCTAGGCTGTAATGAAACAAGTCCGACTGCCGACTGGTGTTTTTATTGGGGAGCGAGACACCCTCCCAAAACCCTCCTTCGGGACGACCCTGCCTGTACATTATACAACGTAGCGTTTCCCAACGGAGATAAATAACCCCCTGAGGAGGATTTAAAGTACTGCCCGGAGAGAGGGGGGTCATACTGGGATGATAAAATTGTTAAAATATTGCAATTTTTATTAAGATGTAAAACGTAAAAATTAACAATCGCTGAAACAAACCTCGTTTTACAGTTCACCTGGTATTACTCGTAATGAATAAATAAACTTTTAGGGGAGCCGGTGAGGCGCGAGATTTACGAAAACCTACTAGGGGTACGCGGAACGAAAAAAAAACATCGGAAAACACCGGATTTAAAGGCGTTAAAATATAAATATATCACTTTTCACATCACCAAAACGACTACTAATGTAATAAAACAGTCTTAAACCCATGTTGTGTCTGAACATTTTTCAGTTACTAAACCGTTTAGTAGTTAGTAAATCACTTACCATTCGACTAAATTACTGGCATAGTCTGAACTAGCCTTTAGACACAGTCGAACGGCAAAGCTTTTAAACGCGTATCAGGTGCGCGCGCACCGGACGTGGCGATCCGCTGGCGAATATTCGCGGGCCACGTGCGGTGGACGAAAAACGTCGGATGAATTAAAAATAGTGCCAGTACACGTCCGGCGGTGTACGCGCGGGCAGCGGCTTCTGTTGGTCGGCCGCGGGGCGCATGCATTTTCGCTAGACCGTTGCCGCGCGCGATATTCGCTTGGCACATTGCCTCGCGGCTCGGCGCGACCGGAGCAATCACGTCCGTCCGCGGTTCGTGAAATGTATTTATAGCCCGCGCACTGTCTCGGACGCGATCGCGGTCACGTGAGCCCACATGTCCGGTCCTAAAAGCAGGATCAGCTGGGGGTCGGTACGCGCTACGGTTACCATGATGATTTGCATGCGTTGGCGTGTCCGAAGGGAAGATTTGGAGCGATCCACCTCATCCCCTCCCACAATAATTTTGTGTGTTCGTGCGGGTATTCGCTAAATATTTGCCAATAAGGAATTAAGATACAAACATTTGCAAGAAAAACGTAGATCTTATGATTTAGCCCGATTACACCTATTGCTGAATGATCGCTTTAAACGAATATTGTTTTTTTAGTACTTAATGCTGTACAAGTTTTTTTAACTCCCGGGGCACGTCTAGGATTTTTTTGGGAAAGCAGGTGAAAAAAATATAGCCCCTACCTTACTTGGGTGGTCTTTTATTTCCCCCGTCCCAACTTCTCGAGCGTGTGGGCGTGTGTAAACGGTCGAACGGTCTGATTGATTCGCGTGCATCGCAACCAGGGGCGGTACGTCGCATCCACGCGCGCCAACTCGAGAACATTTTAGAAAATCCACATCAAAGTTTTTCGACCATCGTCCACGGTCGTACTTCGGTCGCGTTCCGCGAAAATTCAATGCACCGTAATCGGAAGTCCGACAAACGGCAACAGACTCCTCCGTCGTCAACTGCGCAGCATGTCGACCCTTCCACGCTCTCACTACGTAGGTTACCATGTTACCGACACGCTGAGGTCGCGTGTTCCTATTCCCCGATCCCGTTTGCAAAAAATTCTTGTTTTTATACGTTTGCGACGTTTGGGGGGCGATATCGATCCGAAATACTCTGTTCGTTCTAGCCTGGAATCCTGTACACAAAACGACTTATAAAACTGTTTCGTGGTTTACGAAAACCAAACGTGAATCTGCACGTTAAACTAGCTCCCGTATCAATACGACTTTGACGAAATGTGATTCGTAAATTTTCAAAATACAATAGTCATCGCGATATTCGTTGACGAACCACGACAGTATACATAGATGTTGTCGTGTAGTCAGTTTTCGCGTGTTAGCTAATGCGATTCGATTAGTTTTGTTTCGGATATTCAGTTGAAATGAAACGTATTACAAATCCACCATAGGCGGATATCTGGTCACATCCTTGGGCGGGGGGCTTAATATTTTTGTCTTATCCATTAGCGTAAACATTTTTAGATGCTTCAACCTACTAACTAGTGGCTACTCCTACTTTATTCTAATTGGGGCACCAAATATGTACAGTTAATAGGAACATAAAAATATAAAATAGCGAATAGCTACTCATTTTTTTTTATTTCAATTGTATTCATCTATTCCTTTATTTCCTTTATTACCTACAAAATATGGTTTTCCCCAATAAAGATAGTCCGTAAATATTCTAGACCATTCTCGTATACCAACAAAATAAAATAAAAATTATAAATATCAAATATTGAAATAGACAATTTATTTTTGCGTCTGGTGTAGTTTGATTACGTTCAGAGTAAAAGCCCCCCCCCCCCCCAATATCCGCCGATGAATCTCACTATTTAACTAATGACTTCAGTAAGAATTATTTTCTCATTTTATACCACTTAATACTTAATTGGGAGCTAATTTCACCAATTAATATGTGTACCGAAATATAATTAATTAATTACATTGAGAAAAGTGTAAGTACACATTAAGGTATGTATTTAAATATGTATTCTCAAATAATAGGTATTAGGTTATCGTAATTAAAATGAATGGAGTTCACAAGACTTGATTAGAGGTACACTTTAACTGCCTTAACTATATTTATGGTCATGATCTTGACATTGCACGTTGAAGTATAAAAATATGTAAATTTACTGAAGATTTTTATATTAAATGTATTTTTTTACGTACTGGTTGATCACTTTACTAATGTATGATGATATTAGGTTTTAAAATTCGAACATACGACGTTACACATTGTATGATACAGACACATGTTTAATAATAATAATGATGCGTGTCTGGTGGTTACATTAACCAGCGGTTAGTAAAAAGTAAAACTAATAACTGCTCCGTGAATTCGAACTCTAAATTAATGGAACCACTATATGTACCGTGTGTTTACACAAGAGGTAGGAATGCGCGTGTACTTGTTTCTGAATTATCATCCAGGACGAATAATAATATCTTGTCATTGTAAAGGTTTTTTTCTATTCTTAATAATTTAAGACGATACTGCAGCTTATACGAAGATATGTGCACGTTGCTTTCGTCTTATATGAAAATAAAATACGTTTCTTATGTTTAAAATAACAATGAAAAATAATATATTCGGAAGTGCCAAATGGGGTAGGTGTACGGAATAATTTAAAATGGTACCAATGAAGTAATGTATAAGTACAACTCTCCGAGTGATTAAAGTTGACCACAGTAGTTTAAAGTATAATTATGATTTTAATACTATTAGTAAAACCGCATAGTTAATAAATAATTATATTGCTTCGATTTTAAGACTCGGTAAATATTTGATAAACAGTAACTGAAAGTCGGTTTAAGTAGTGCAATCATTATTTTGAGTTCATAAATATAATTCAGACTGATTAAATTTACTGCGCACGATTTGTGTATGACATAAATGCCAAAAACATATATTTTAATACAGTAGGTATCGATATCTTATACTTTCATATGACCTAAGAACAATCTACATCCGTGTAATACGTACTTACGTATCCAACTATCTGAAGTCATTATAAAGTATATAAAATAACAATAATAATGAACAGAGATACTACATGAGTGTGATCAGAGATTGCGGACTAATATAATACTGTTATTTATTACATTTTTTCTAACCTTTAGAAATAACAAATGTATTGTCAGGTATGCCGCTGCGTGGGCAGTGTATATTGTAATGCCCTTGTACTCATTGTGAAGTATAATCATAAAATACAACTCAAAATACTAAAATACATTGCTAAAAAATGAAAATAAATAAATTTATTGAAAAATAATTATCAATTATATTGCTTTTTATAAGGAAAAAATATTTAATGTCAGTTGTCAACATTTTTTTATTAACCATTCATTGAATAATTATTTTGTGCAACCTAGTAAATTTTCGTAAATCAATGTTAATATACATTTATTAATAATTTCATAAATATTTGTCCGTAAAACCTTTAGAATTTTTCTTTATTCGTATTAATTTCATTATTATTATCCAGCAAAATTATAATTTCCTATCATGCATGTGGTTATGATTTATCAATAGGTTTATAATATTCTGAAATCGTGAATGTCGCCTCAAAACATACAACATTTATTGTACTAAATAATTTCATAATCTTCATGAGTCGACTCGGAGTTTTTTCTTTAGAAAACTATGTGTTGTGCACGCGTTTCCTTCTGAACACCACGTCAAGACACTTTAAAAATGAAGAAAAAACCCTTGGTTAATTCAAATTGGGACGTAGGTACTTACGACATGTTGTTATATGAAAATCAGCACCGTTGAGCGTGGGATATAATTATTAACCATTTATAACACCGCGATTGATATGATTGTCGGCAGGAAATTATAAATCAATTTACATTTTGTGTGGAAGAATACAAGTGCAACGCAACAGTAGTTGGTGGTTTTACTGCCGTGTATTCCCTCCTTAACACTTACTATATTTTGAAACACTTAAAATAAAAATAAAAATTGAAATAATTAAGCTTATGAGACGATAATAGGTGTGTAAAATGATAAGACACGACTTCTTAATAGAAATAGGTGACAATAATGGGTAACTAGAAACGTTTAAACAGCACGATACATACTGATGCTAACCTCTATGAAACTTTTTTTTCTTCTAAATATTGTTATTTTATAAAAAGATAAGTGTCGCCGGGCGATGCAGTGCCAAAATTGTTTATTTTAAACTCTTCCCACTTAAATAACTAACATCATATATTCACCATGTTATAAATTAAATTCAATAATCGCGTTGCAAATTTTAAAATGTAGGTACAAAATATCGTTTAGAACAACGATAATTATTGCAATTGGAGGTATAGAACAAATTGTTTCAACGTAAATTAAAAATCGTAATTATACGTCCAAATTGTAAACCCTTGAGAAAGACATACATTTTTTTAAACAAAAACCAATAATAAAACTTAATATAAATAGTAATAAAAAAAATATCACAAAACTAAATCTATTAAATCTATCACTGGATAATTTCCTTTCTCGCGTATTCATAATAGTTAAATTTTCTATCTATATGTTTATATTATTTCAGCAAATTTGTTTACTGTGCACAGGGCCGCAGCCACACATTATTCTAGAAGAGGTAAGCTCTAATTTTGCCGCCCCTCTTTCCATCACTCAGTCCTAATAATTTATATATAAATTTCAGTGTTGTTATTACAATGCAAATTTGAGAAAAATTCTAAAATATTTAATTGGATGTTAAGTGACAAATATGCTATTATACTGTTGTTAAATGATAAGTTAGGTTTATTGAAAAATTAAAACATAAAAATTTATGCTAAAAATATACAAAATATACATAACTATTCTTAAAAACTAAAAGTGTATATAAAAGATTTATAAAAATTTGATTTTTCTTGATTTTTTGACTGCAAATGTTTTAATTATTTCTTCAAATGAGATTAATGATACTCTTTGTTGTTTTACAACGCACGCACAATTTTTTTTTACCGTAAATTTTAATAATTAAATATTTTCTTACCGTATTTACAACTCTAAGATGTTGAATATGCAGATTATGATAATTTTTTTTAACTTTTGTAGGCAATAAAACTATTTAGTTATTAAAATAAACTATATGGTTAATAGGTACACTTTCAAAAAACACGTCAGTCATCGAATCACGAAAACAAATGATTATAATGTGATCGCGCTAATACATTATAAATATAAAATTATAATCAAGACTCACAAACATAGATCTATATTTACAAAGAACCGCACGATCAAAGTTAACATATATGTGCTACAGAATATTATTAGTTTTAAATTTTGTCCGGAATACGACGATAGCTGTAAAACTACCGATAACAATATGTTACCTATACCATAGAATAAATGAATTACAGTGACAAATATTAATTGCATTGTTATTTTGCCATATCAAAAATTGATCGGATACCCGACGACGACCGTTGTTATCACGGTATAAATAAGTTGGCGGTATGCGCGTATATTTAGCATGGCATTTCAATGTCAAATGTTTTTATATTTTGCCGCCCGGGGCAAAAGATCCCCTAGCTGCGGCCCTGATTGTGCAAAAATGTACAAATTGTGATTTTTATTTTAAATAAATAAATAATTTTCACTAAAAAAATAAAAAATTAATAATAAAATAAATTTAAATTTAAAAATCATTAAATCATTAGTCAGGCAGGCTAAACATTTATTTATAAAAAATAAATTATAAATTATAAAGTAAAGTACCGATAAGTGGAATAAATATATTTTACCAACAATATTGTTCTACGAAAATGTCACCATGTGCTATATTTAATATTGTTTAACATGAAAAAAGAAATGTGAACAATTCCTTCTGGACCATTTAAAACGTTACATTATCTTTATCATTTGATTTGAATCCAAGGATTGAAACGACTCGAAAATAAAAAAGTTAGATGAACGTAACGAATTAAATTTATACTCGCGCAACAGCTATATTTGAATAGATGTGTGTATAGCCTTAATTTCCAGCACCAATCACCGCGGCGGGTATAATATTAGCATGTGTAATGTATAATATAATATGTTACCATATTACGGATGTGTACATGTGTATAACATAGCCGAAATGGATTTCAGCGTTTTACAGTAGTGGTATTTTTTATTACTCACGGAAAAAATCTGAGAAAACCTCTTCTACGGATCTTTTTTCTTTGTGTAGGTACCAATTTTCTGATGGCGTAATTTAATATTTTCACGATTTTCTTTTCACAAAGCCGTTCCTAACACTCCCGGAATCTCCTCTGCATTACTTTTTATTAATTCGTTAGTGTTTCCAAACGGGAGGAAGAAGGAATTCTGCACTGGAGAGGAATTAAGGTACTGCGTGTGTGGTGGTGATACAGTGCTGATGAAATTGTGAAAAATACCTATACTTTTGTTAACGTACGAGATAAAATAAAAAACCGTTTCAAAATTTTGTAATTTCTATTACATAACTAAAAAAAATAATGAACTTTTTTAAATTTATGGGTGGGGAGGCAAGACTATCTTGAGAATTAACAAATCTACAAGGGAGGTATGAAATAAAAAATATTTGGATAAATTTCGTTAGATGGAAAGCCAGAATGAGACGCAATAATATTTATTAATTTCCAATATTCCTGACTATTTGTTTTAATTTTAGTGTTAACTTTTGCTTGACAAATTATGAGTATAAAAAGTTACGGATATATTGAAGACTTGCAAGATGCAGCCAGTATATAACAATGAAATTATTATTTGAGCCGGAAGAAGAGGAAAGAAAAACAGTAGTTATTATTATAAAATCAAATTCCAATCCTACTTTAATGTATCAAACTTTATAAGATATGTAATTTATTCAAAAACCTAATATGCAATAACTTTAATATAATATTAGTTTTTACTTTATGCGTTTTTTTTTAAAAAAATCAAATCTGACAGTAGGATCTCTTGTACATTCAATGTGTTTCAATATTTATACATTCTTAGTATATGTATAAGGTTAATATAGTAACTAATATCTCGAGGAATTTAAATTGTTATTACATAATAATACTCATAATAAATGTATTTAATGCTTTATGCTCTTCTATCATATTTAAACAAAAAATATTTTACTCAAATCCAATTAATGGCAATAAATATGGTCCATTAAGTTAGAAACTAGTTATTACATGTATTAGGTATGTCTTAAACTTATATTTATTTAAGTTTAGTCAATTATGATTAATGTATATAATTTAAAAATTACATTTTCACTAATTACTCTTCAAAGTAAGTACCTATATATTTTATAAAATATTTTTAGTGGAATTTTAATGAAAATATATTATAATCTACATAATAAAAAAATGATAATACTTTATTGTACAATTATTTTGACTATTTATACAAATTTTAATTGCTATTTTGCTTCAAATCATACTAAGTTCAAATAAAAAAATCAACCATTTCAATGAAATTGTACATATAAAACAATAAAAAAATTTCAAGCATTAGATAAGTTAACTTTTCTTGTTTATTGACAATAAACTATCAAACTCCAATTAGAATAATTTATGTTCTATTATTAAGTTTAAAGCGTATTTGGGTACTCATTTAAGTAGAAGAAATGAATTTTAATTAAAATAATACATAACAAATATATATTATAGAAAAAAAATTTACATTTTATTGTTGGAAAAAAATTATTGGATAATGAATATTACTAATTATAACTCTTTTATTTTTTATTTTTCATTCCTTCTTTCTGCTTTTTTTGCTTCTTTGTTTCTTCCTCATCAATGGGAGCTGGTTTTACGAAAGGTATCTCATCTTGATACCTGGTTGGTAAATATTTCTTTAATATATCTGGCACTTTAATTCCTGTTTCGGTCTGATATGTTTCCAATATAGCACATATCACTCTAGTTGTAGCACATGCAGTAGCATTTAACATATGCACATAGTCAACTTTTTCATTCATTTTTTTGGTCTGGCCATATCGCACCAATAATCTTCTTGATTGGTAGTCCAAACAATTACTGCAAGACACTAATTCTCGGAATGCTCCCGAACCAGGAAACCATGCTTCCAGGTCAAGTTTTTTGGCAGCAGCATGATTCAGTGCACCAGACACAATGTTGACAACTCGGTAAGCAATGCCTAAATCATCATAAAATTGTCTAGAATTATTAATCATCTCATCAAACAAAACCCAAGACTGATTATCAAAAGGAGAAGTCAAAACAAATTGTTCAACTTTTTCAAACTGGTGTACTCTAAAAATTCCCCTAGTGTCTCTTCCATGAGAGCCAACTTCTTGTCGGAAACATGTAGAAACACCAAGATAACGAATAGGAAGACTAGCTTCTGGTAGCCACTGGTCACGGTGGAGAGCTGCTATTGGTTGTTCAGAAGTAGCGATTAAATATTTTTCATCTAAATCATTGTCACCAATTTTCTCACTGCCTTTTCCAATAACTTTGTACAGTTCTTCATCAAACTGTGCAAGTTGAGCAACTTCTTGCATGATTTCTTTGCGCATAAAAAATGGCGTGTACAACGGCTTGTATCCCTTATCATCCCATCGGCGAAGTGCTTCTTGAACAAGGGCAGATTGTAAAAACACACCGGGGCCCTTAAGGTAGTATCCTCGAGCACCTGATACCGTGGCACCAGCATCAGCATCCACACCATCAATCATATGAATCAAATCTACATGAGAATACTTCTTCTTTATGGAGCAGTCGCCAACAGTGGCAACAACAGCATTGAGATCCTCATCGTTGCTGATGGGCACAGATTCGTGCAAGAAATTACTAACCTCTTTGAACGAATCGGTTCTCGTCTTCTCTATGTCGATCAAGTCCTTCTCGTTTTGTGTCAGTGTGTTGTCAATGAGTACACGCACTTTTTTTATCTGTTCAACCGATAGTGGTTTGAGTACGTCGACTGTCACTTTGTCCAAATCGAAATCAACAGGGATGTCGTCACTCTTTTCAGGCTGCGGTTCTTTGGATTTGATTTTCTCACCAATGGTCTTGCTGCATAGATTCTTCAACTTGTTCAGATTGTCCGCTTTGAAACGTAGCTGCCGCCACTTGCCGTCTGCTTCGACCACTTTGTCCACCAGGTTTGGGTCTTTGAAACGTTTCTTCTGGTTCTCACGTATTCGGTCAGGGTTGCCGCCCTTTTCCGTGCGAAATAAGTCCAAGTCGAGTACCATTTCGTAGCTTTCAAACCGCAAGAACTTACGGAATCGAACACGGCCGCACGGGTCTGGTGACGCAACGTGTCTCGGGGACTTTCAAATAATAATAATAGTAAGTAAAACGTAAACAGAAGGAACGAATGAACGATAAGGCGAGTTACGACATAACCAACAAAAATCGTGTTATCGCCTATCAAATGAATGCTGACGTTTTATCACGAAATAAGACCGTCGTCGTGTATCAATCTTATAGATCACGCACTTGGCATATTATGATAAAGGAACCGTCGGCATGTAGCGAGCGCCATCTATACTACTGTACTGCCAAACGATGTACGTTTCACCGTTCAAAAATAGTACTGACTGGTATCGTAGTATCACAGTAGATCAGGAGTGGCCAACTTTTAAAGACTTGCGAACGATTCCTCAGTTTTTCTTTGTTGTCTTGTCACGATCGAACATAAAAAAAAAAGTTATAACTATCAAAAATATACATGCATGTTACACTTACTTAACTTATTATATTTAAATTATCAATAGGTAACTTTAATTTTATAAATTTACATAATGTATTTTAATATGTATTGATTTATTTTTAAAATATCGTTATTTAATACGGAATATACATCAGATTATGCACAATATACCTACATGGCAATTCTTTATTAACTGTTATAATTTTTATATTTGTGGGCTTAACAGAAATGTACAGAAAATAAATAAATATTTGAACTGCTATCTGAATGAATTCGAAAAAAAATGAAAGGGAGTCGTGATTCACTCAAACTCATATCACAGATTGTATAAAATTTAATTTGATTTTAATGTAAATAATTTAAATTTAGTTTAATATAATCTGTGCTCATATCACAATCGACCTGTTGGCCACCCCTGCAGTAGACAGTGGTGACGCGAAGGGGTTTATATTTGAATCACGTAATTCGTGAAAATGGAAATGGGTGGTCTTTGTAAAAAGAAAGTTAAGAAAATAATTGTCAGTCCAAATTTTCTGTATAGTGCTTCCATTGTGGTCTGTGGCAATGCAACTGTGCTACACGTGTCTGGTGAACATTATAGTTAATATAATATTGTACCACGATGTGGCATCCAACGCAATTGGTGATTCGAGTAAAGAAAACTTCTCACCGCCGCCACTGATGGTAGATATTATAAATTAATATCATTGTGCCTGACGGTATAACATAATATATATACCTATATAATATATATATATATATATATTACCATATTATGGTAATTTCTTGGATGGAGAAGAACTAAAAAATATTAAATAATCAATAAGATAAGTTTAATCAGTAAAAATATAATACTAATTAATAATTTCCTACCATTGATTACATTCGGATTTGCATTTGTCTAGGTGACCTCCACCTCCTTTAAGTGCAAACAATCAAATAAACAATGAAACATTTTACGTAATCATTGACAATTATACAAACCTAACCTGTGCTCGATGTCAGAGGTGGATCTAGAAATATGAAATGGAAATATATTAATAAACCACTTAGTTCCTTCTCCTTGGATCCGCGCCTGCTCAATGTTGAATAAACTATTTGTGTAAAATTAGAGATTGCCTATCGGTACATTTAAATACCGATTTAATACTCATTTATTATCGATTTATTTCACGAACACCAACTTTGATCTAAAATATCAAGTTAAATTTTTTTACCTACTATTTTAGGTATGATCAATATTCTTAGTAATCATACTTTAATCAAAACATGATGTTATCGCTTTTTTTCAAGTTACTTTAAACTGAAAGAGCAAAAACATCAAAACGAAAATCATGTAATATGTGATTATGAAATGTATACTATGTGATTGATATGTAAAAAAAAATGTTTAATATTTTATTTTACTTTATTGCTTGTATTTTATAATCTAGGTATATTAATAACATTCATATAATACTATAATTTTGCATGTAAAATTTTTGAAGTAAAGTTATACAGCAGCAATTCAGAAACGCTTATTTTACTGAAGATATTTGAAAATAGTTTTATACAATACTGTCTATAAACCAATTATATCAATTATACCCAAGTTTGCAAGAATTCATTGTTTATTATTTATTATTTCTAAAAATAAAATAAAACTTAAAATCCGTACATTTTTATAAGTGTGACAAGGTGTATCTTACTTTTTTGAAATTAAAATGAACAATTTTACACATATTTATTTATTGAAATAATAATAAAAATACTTATGTAATTATACAAAAAAAAAAAATTAATAATAATAATAATAAAATAATTTACATAAAATTAAGTAATCGGACAAATGTTTGACTATTACAATGTGACGATATATTTTATATAAACATGATTCGTTGAATTTTATAACAAATAATAATAATTGCATCTTAAACATAATTAAAAATAAGACGTTATTGTCTCGTACCAGTCTTGTTGGTGCGTCATAATATAAAATTAGAACATAATATTATACAAACTAAAAACAAATCGTGAGATTCACCGGCTAGAAGACTCCGGCCAAAGCCTGTTTCGTCAAACTCTGCTTGTAATTAAATGTACAATCGTTGTTATTAGTTTCGGGCTCGTACTCGGAATTCTGCGACAACATGATGATTTCTTCTTTCGCGTCACTACCAACCTCTTCTCCATTCGCGATCGTAAGAGAACAGCCGCTTTCATCTTCTCCAGTCGTGTCTTCCGCAGACTTCTGCGATCCACTCGTATTTGCCGATTCATCGTCAACTTTCCCGATCTTCACATCGATGTCCTGCAACACGATTACGAATAATATTCTCGTTAATCTTATTTTTAATTATTTTACTTTATATGTAGATATATGTATATGCCAATATTGTTATTACAATAATCGGAATTTGAAATGGCAAAATTATAATATAGGCAGTTGCCACGGACGCCGTTTCTCAACCCACTAAGTCGTAACGTTCCACCAGCTAACTCGTGATATTTTTTCAACATCCATGATCGACTTACAATCTTATTTTATGTAACATGGGTATAAAATAATTTGAAAAAAATATATCGATCATTAGCTTTAAATTAGCTTCAATGTTTTCAAAGATTAAAATAAAAATATGTACATCGGATATTGTAGTGTTAGCAAATGATAAATTTAGATATTTATAAGTACATTTGAAAATTATGAAAAATTTGGATCCAGGTAACAGTAAGGGTAAAAAGGTAAAATAAATAAAGGTAAAGCTGTAATGGTGCCGGTTCAACGCACAGTCTTTGTTCCCCTTCCAGTGATTTTAGAATGTACTACTGGCCCACAATATATCTGTACTACATTAGTCCAAGGCAGAGTTGAGCATTAGTCGATTCAAAAATTATTCGATTGAATATTTGAATAAAAAATTATTCTTTATTCATTTATTTTTCATTTGATTATTTTAGATTATTTTTATTCATCATTTTGATTTTTAAAACTATCCCTTATTCATTATTCAACGAGTTATTCTAGATTATTTTATTCATTATTTGGTTATTCATTGTTTTGTTATTTATTATTTGGATAGGCGATCGTTCTCCCTGAATCAGTATATAAGGAATTGATTATATATGAGATACACATTTCATATTTTTTTAATGTGGATCATTTTATAACGAAATCAAATTGCGCGTGGCTGTGAATACTGAATTAGGTTTTTTGTCGGGTCCATACTAAGTGAAAAATCAAATAAAAAAAAAGCGTAACTTTCAAAACACAGACAGATGTTTAAGAAGAACTACACATAAGTCGATTCTAAGTGGATCCGTATTTGGATTAAAAAAAAAAAAACCACTAATATTAAGGATTCACCCGATTCAAATATTACCAAAAATTTTACTTGTAAATTTTGAGCCCGAATTAAAAAAAAAATTGAGTCGCCTCCTCCTCTCCCTAGAAGTAAGTCTAAATACGCCCTTGGCACGCATTGACCGCATATTGTCGCACGATAAAAACATATGAATACCTGTTGAGATTCATCGGTGAGCTGCAAGCACTTCGAGCTGTCCATCGTGGTGTCCGCGTCAATAATGGTGTCCAGTTCCCACCACGGCGAGTTGGAAGTCGCCTCGCCATCGGATGGCGTGTGATACGAAGACGATCTGGACGGCGGCGTGCCGGTACAATCGGAAGCTGTAACAAACTCCTCGGCATCCGATCGGCTGCTACTGTTGTTGTTATTGTTGCTGCTACTACTGCTGCTGCTGTTGTTGATGATGTTGCTGTTGTCGTTGCAGTTGTTTTCAATAGTTTTCGTCTCAGACGGCAGCTCTTCCTTGCTGCAGTCGTTCGGTTTGTTCAAGTTGACGTACCACTCCTGAACAGTTTATAGAACACATGGTTTTATTTGTTTACTTTGATATGGGTTTTTCGTACACGCATTGATATTATATCATATAGTTGTATACAAACGTTCATATTATTTTTATTTTTCTCAACTGAAACATTTTACCTACACCTAACCTGTCTAATAGATAGTATCAATACTATTCAATTATTAGTTATGAATTAATTATAATTATGATATTTTTCTCCATGTTTATTACTTAAAATATAGCAGAAAGTCAATTATTAATTACTACAGACATAAACGAAAAATCTTAGACTAATCGTATTATTAGCTACAGAGGATGTAAGAAATCGTGGTTAAAATAAAAATAGTAAATGGACAAAACGTATGTTATGGATTAATATTCAACATTTAGGCTTTGATGTGATAAGAATGAAATATACACAATGTAACACATGAAGATTATTAATGGTGATCTATTAAGGTAAAATACGTTCACTCATAAAATAAATCGCATTGATTCAAGCATGGCTTTAAATAATACATAAAAAACATTCATCGCAACTATTTCAGATATTTTCAAGTGAGACCATTTTCACTCGAATGTAAGTGGCTTTTACGCTAGAGAACTGAAACAATGCGACGGTAGTACCCAATATAAGTGTACACATAGGTAGGTGAATGTTGCTTACAGATATGTAATAATACTTTATCAAAACTCGCCTGGGTGACGTTTCCGTTGGAATCGTCTAGCACGTGAGTAACGGTACTTTGGGCCAACCCGGACAGGGTGAAATCCAATTGTTCTGCTAGTTCGGTGACCACAGCCAATTTCTGGCAAACCGAGTCCACCGCGCTCTCGTTGAGATACCGCAAATCTTCGTTCCTGTAAGAAACGCATCCGCACTTTACTAAACATTCATGACACACATCTCATAAGTATAGTGCACCGACTACATTTTCGAAGTACATCCACTGTACATATACAACCGTTCAACCAAACATTCAATATTCGTTTGTAGAAAAAACTTATCAAACGACAATCTGAATCATATCCATCAAAATTTTCCATATACGAAAATACAAGAGGACAATAAAAAAAGTGAAACAAGTATATTCATCAAAAAAAAAAAAAAAATAGTTTTAGTTCTTCAAAAATGTGTTGTATGCCTATTGTGGAATGTCTCAAGCAAAAACTCAAATGCTGACGAAGAAAATACAAGCGTTCAACATTAAAAAAGTTACCTAGCGGTGGAACGCTCGAATAGCCTACAGGCTATCAACATAACGGTATTGCGAAATATGCCTAATGGTACTCGTTCATTATATTTCGTACGAATATTTACTTGTGTTGAACGCAAAGAGGTTCGCGGAGTCTGGTTTTGAGCATGCGCCCTAGGCGGACAGTGCGGCCGACCTCCAACAGGATTTTCTCGCGCGACACGAGACATTTGCGCAGTCGACCTTTGTGTTTACTCGTGTTGTTGTTGTTCTCATCCTGAATGGTCTGCACGGTTTCCATTAGCTCTCTGAGTTGTCCGCAGTACTGTGCACGTGCAAAGATAACAAAAGTCCAACGATTACAATGCGGTTTTGGCAAAATATATCATCAGGAGCGGGTTTAAGAGGGTAGCTAAGGGGGCAATACCTCCCTCCTTGGGACTAAAGCTAACTATTTTACAAAGCTAAGTATTATGATTTATTGATATATTAATAATTATTATAAAATTGGTCATTGATGAATATGGTAGGTACCTGTTTTATATATTTTTTTATAAATAAATACCTCATTTTTGTTGTTAATTATATGTGTATACCTATATTTTTAAAACGGTTTTAGATTAAACCCCATACCAATAATATATAACTATTTAAAATTTGTCATTATTGTAAAAAAAATGACTTGAGGGACTCTAAAACATGTTCTGTAATTTAAAATTGTGTATGGATTTAAAAAAAAACTAATTAAATTCTTGAATATCCTTTAGCCTCTCCCTTAGAGAGTGATGAAACCCGCCTCTAATTGTCATAGAATAATATGTAACGCTAATGCACGCATATAACTATGTACGCGCACGTGGATAGATTGTTCATCGCATATCATCAGTTGTTGCCAACAAACGAACATGCGTTTATTGGCTTCATTGCTGTTTACCTTGTCGACGTTCCTGTGGTACACGGCGGACACTCGCAACCGCGTCAACTGTTCTTGGCTGATGTCGTCGAGTTGTTTCCAGGACTGCCACAGGCTGTTGGCTAGTGTGGCGTTTCTCGTCTCGGTCAGTTTACAAGACTGCCGCAGGGCTAACGCAGCGTTCAGCAACTGACAACCGTAATCGTACGTACCCTGCAGTAAACCAAAAACACCAACGTGAAATACCGGTCGACCGACGTTCCGGTCGTACTTTTATGAGAGCTATTGATCATCGATGCGCAATGTAATTATTTTACCTTTGCGGTTTCTTGGAATGCCTGGTGTTCTTCTTTTTGAGCTTGTATTTCTTCAGCGTCGGATCCCACATGATAATGAGATTTGAGCAGAACGTGATACAAGTCTTCTAACCACTGAATCGCCTACGAAACGGAAATATGCACCGTCATGATATATTATTAATATAAAATCTAAATAAACCTATATAATCATATGGAAGAAACTGATTTGCAAAAATATTAGACGACTCTCAAATTAACTGCATAAATACGCGTTCTATAATTATGTATAGTTTTCAAAACAGTTAATATCTCTAGCTGAGGGGAGGGGGGTAAGATTTATGATAACTGAAAATTTGTTGCTGTGTACAGTATATAGAACTAACTTGTGAAGCATCCGTTTCGTAGTTAAGTACATACGAAACCTGTTGTAATGTCAACCTCTGTAATTCAACACTATCACAAAACAGTTGACACCTAGCCTTAGTCATTTCTAATATTTCAGACACGTTCACTATGTCTGCTTCGTAATCGACATTTAAAGCAACACCCATGGCATTCTTGACCGGCATCGATAACATGTCGGACAATTTTTCACCTTCTTTCACCAGATCTCTTTCGATTTGTTCTAGAAAAAAAAAACAAATTGCAACACAATTTAAAAATAACACTGAATACTAAATTATTTCAACCGAAATTTACCGATATTTTCTTGCTGTTCTCTCAACTGTACTAGAGTGTGGTCTGGTGACTCCAAAGCTTCGATGTCCGTGCCCATCACCAAAGTCTCGTAAACGTCACTCGTAGTCTGGAAATACTATACACGCACGTTCAATTAACGTTTACAACATATCATTATGCGTTGACGCTATAGGAGTAAAAGACGATCCTTACCTCTGCGACCAACCGGAAGAAACGAGCAGACGTGATCAGTAGATTCCTCCTCCTCTCTAATCGGGTGGCAAAACTGCGGCACACGAAATCCATGAAATCCCGCTGCGCCAATAGGTCTTTGTAGCACTGCGAGTTCGTAGTCGAGAGACTGTTGATCTTGTGCAATAGTTCGGCATAATGACCATACGTGTCCTACGAACGGAAAACATATTAAAATATTATGAAATATTTACTGGGTTAAGGATTACAAAGAGTACCCGCCGAAAATATAAGACCTTCGGGGATACGCAGAGGCCATAATGGACAAACTTACACGACATTGGAGTTCGAACGCTTCGTGATTTCTTTTGTACTCTTCTGCTGATACAATATCGTAACCGACTTGTTGTTTGCCGTTCAACATTTCCTCACCAGGTCCTAGAATCCAATTAACAACGTGTTTGATGCCTTGTTCCAAGTATCGCATTTCCTGTGCGGCAATACACGAATAATAAATCAAAAATGCAATTCAATCAAACGCAAGAGCAGACTGCGTACGAAACAAGAATGAATAGGAAATCAATTCTTTATCAGCATCCAGTGAGCGCAATTTGTTTACCTTAATGCAGTCGACTTTTTTTTGCACGCCGTTCCAACAGTCGACGACGATCATCATTTTGTCGTGGAGAATTCTCATGTATCGGTCGAGCGTTTCTTTGGTATCCAATACATCCTGTGGGAACAGCTGTCCTTGGTCTGCGTATATTTTATCAATTCGTTGGCACACCATCTGACCGGTTTGAGAAACTTTTTTCACGTGCTCGATGACTATATTAAACTTCTCACCGGACACAGTCAATACGATATCGGCCGTACTGTGTTTGAGCAAATCCTGGTTATTGATCAGGTGTTGTCGCAATTTTTCCATGTCAGATACGGCGTTTTCCGAACTCTTGATAAACTCTTCGACTCTCTGCACAATGCATACACACAAATCGTATCATTATAACAATAAAAAAAAAAAGCGTGCAATAGTTAAAAATATAATCCTTAATAAGAAATTGTAGATATTGATGATCCGTCAAAATATATCCGCCAAAAATATTATCAGTTTTGATTATTATTATAATTATCATTTATTATAAATAATTTAAAATTATCTCATGCTTCACACATCTTTAAAATTTGAGATTATGAGCGATTCCTCTTAAATACTAAAAAAATTTAATTCCGTTAAATTTATCAACGACATGTAAAAGTTTTTCGTCATAGTCTTTATATTTTTCCCTTTTTTTTTAGTTTGGTACTCCAAAAATTAATTTTTCTAATTTTTCAAAAAAGTTATAATTAAAAACATAATATATTTCTAGATTTCTCTTGGAAATACTGTTATTCGGTATATATTATTAATATGTTTTTGTAAAATATCTACATTAAAAATATTGATTGTTTTCTCTTAAAATTATTTTTATCAGAGGTATTTTATCATGGAAGCGTAGATATTGTATTATAAAATCGGAACAGGTCCAATAATACTATATATCTATAGTTAAATATTAATATTAACTTCCCGATTCAATGATGATTCGAGCATGCAATGAACTCATTCAAAATGAGTAAAATGAAATAACTAAATTTTTTAAATTTCATATAACTGAATGTATACATTTCAATCTCGTGTATAAAATAATAAAAAATTAAATACGAAACACTCAAAATAATTTTATAATATATAATTTATGTACAAAAGCTGTACGCACAAAATATATTAATATATAAAAATTTAAAAAAATCTAAACTAGTTTCAAACGTGTTCAACGTAAGTTGCGCTGAGTAAATCCGAGACTCAAATGTAGTCACAATCTATATAAGTATATGTGTATAGACCGTGTTTCGTGTACTCACTACGCGATTGTGTATCCACTGTTCATGGCTGTAAGTCCAAGAACCACCTAGATCTACGGGTAATTGATCATGTGCCACGTACTTGTGAATCCTCGATAATGGCACAAAAATGGGCTAGTTAAAACAACAAAAAAAACCATTTTCAGTAAAACCACGGTTGCGTGCCTGTAAATGTCGTTGCGAATTATCAGTAACGTACATCCTATACGTTTCACCGCAGCGTGATGGGAATTGCACGAAATACACATGAAGGATGGTAATAGAATATACGTAAGGAGTTTTTAATTCGATGAGATGTCCGATTCGAAATAACCGGTCAAAATATCTACCCGACGTCGTTTATATTATGCATACGGCTCTTGCCGAAAAAGAATACAATTAACGTTCAAACGGGAATTTATTCCATTGGCACCAATACGTTAGAGATGGGTCTCGTATATATACATAAGATGCACGCCACTGATCGTACGCGATATACCTATACAATATAATATCATTATGAGCGCACCTCTCCTTCGGTCCTGGATTTCGTACAGTTCTCTACTCGCTGTTTGTCCCAAAACACGTCTAGTCTGACGATCAACATCGTACCGATGTTAACGTCCAATATTTCGAACACTTTATGCATCACACTCTTGGTCGTCTTCCATGTACTCCGTTGAGCGTCCAGCACAACGCACAGGCCAGACTGTCTTGTTTCTGGACTATAAACGGAGAAAAAAAAATCGAATAAATTTATTAACATTGCTCGGGTTTTTTGATTTCAGAAAACGTTTTTATGGTTCGTTTATTTCATTATAATATAATCCCATACGTATTTTAAATATTTATCTTTGGTTCACAAATTAATTCCATTAGAACATTCTGTGTGACTAATCATAAAAAATTAAATTTAAATAAATTTAAAAAATAACGATTCTACTTCAAATTTAATTCAATATTCAATTATTTGAACAAATATTCGTGAAAGTTAAATAAAAAATATAATATTATCATAGTAAATCATCAAACAAAATTTTGAACTATTCAAAAATATATACTAAAAAATTTAATAATGTTCAAAAAAAAAAAAAAAATTATTAAGATTGGAAAATACGTGTGAAGTATCCTTAATAAACTAGAAAAATATTTAAATTAGTTACAAAGATTATTCGAATACTATAATAACATAATAAATGATTATGGTGTACATGTATGGTATATTATTACGATTATAATCAAAACATTATTGAACATATAAAATGTTATTATATATTAAATTAATTTAAAACAAAACAAAAGTGATATAGTTTTCACGCCGGGTGGGCTACCATCTTATTTTTATTCTAAGGCAATGAATTTTGAAATGATCAAGACGAAAAATTTATATTTATTTATTTCTATAAATTATTATTATTAATATTATTTTTTGTTTATTTATTTGACAAGACTGGTTTCAATACAATTAATTTTATCATCGTTAAATAATTTAAATTTTTGGAAGTTATTAAGTGTAATCTATATGGAAATAATAATTTTATTATATTATTATTACTTTAATAAAGACGATTCGTTTTCCTGACGAGCACTATGTATGAAAAAAAAAGGACAAAAACTACGTACCTAAGATAATATTTGGTGTGAAGGATATTTTTAAACATTATTTTGAAGTAGTTAATTGTAATAAGTTGTCAATGCTATTAGAATTTTAAATCAAAACATTTAATCATGTGTTGGCAAATCAACAATTGGCATTACAAAACAGTACGACTTGAAGCATTTTCGAATCAATGTCAAGTGTTTTGTTTTAGTGCTATTTTTAGTAACAAAAATCTTACAATATAACAATAATTATCTGAACTTCCTAGTCATTTTTAATAAAGCCCATCATCATTTTTAAGATGAAATATAATTTATGCAGTAGTTAAGAAATATGAAGCTTTCTTTCGCAGAGTTGAAAAAATAATTCAGCAACATGTGTGAAAATAAAAAACAATTCTACCCAATTTAAAGTTGAAATTTCACCAAAAATTTACCCATTTAGTATTTAATAAATGCACCCATCTAAGTTTTTTAATTGGTATATGATATGCATTATGTCTTCTCAGAACATTTATAATACATAATGGATAGATTAAAACAGAGAAAATATAATATGTGCTTATTTCAATCAACCGCAACACTACATTATATCTGTGCATGTAGCCATTTTTCCCGTTGTACTCCTTTAACTCTATTTTTATTAGTAGTAAATTATATAGAACAAATTATATACTTCTTTCTTAAAGTAGGTTCTTTCTTTTATCGTTTTCTCTGTAACTCGATACAAAAAAAGTATATTTACACATTTTTCTAAATATAATTAAAAAAATCTAGTACAACACTAATAATGTAATAATACAACTGCAGTAACTAGTGAATGTTTACAAGTAAATGGTTTTGCCTTCATTTTCCTACATGTGGCATTATAATAATAAAATATATACCTATACTCGTCAAACTGTACAATTATAAATTAATATAATCGAATAATAATTGTCAAAATGTTCAACACTGACGTTCGAACAATTGAAACAAATAAGTAACGGGGATCAAACCTTGTACCAAATTATATTGTAACTCTATTGGCCTGCTGTTGAAAGTCGAATTGTATGAATTCATATAATTATTTCATTTCAGCTTTAAGCCATATGAAATATGATAATTATCCATTGTCAGAGGCTGAGTTATATTTTAGTGGACCTAAATTGTGTAAACCTGTGGTTTTCGACCTTTTTCGAATAGTTCCAAGCAAATCTGAAGCAAATTAAATGTCTAAGCATACATCGTGTGAATATTCTTAGACCCAGTCCTTACGTATAACTGTTATACGATAAAATTTTACCTTAAATAATTTTTCTGGTAAATACAATATTTATAATAGAACACAATCTTATTATATTGCACTGTTCGAACTGAGGCATGTCTGAACGAAAATCGTTAACTCGAACATAATATATTCTACACACGATTATTTTACTTTCAGATAAAATGCAATTTACAATGACTGCTGATACTGTAGGTATACTTACATTATATGCTAATTCACTAAAGCATGTGCAAGTTAAAATACAATACCACATAAAAATAAAAATAAACTCACCTGACTATCTTTCGTCAGTTTTTAAATTATTTTTTTCATAAGATAAATCGCCACAGTGCGATCATTAAAATAAATAAGTAGTATGCATAAACGCACTAGACGGAAGAGTGTGACCTTTACTTGCAGTAGATATTGTTCGTGTAACTGTCACCATAAAGCCAAGAAAAGCTAACCATGAAAACAACTTTCTCTTAACAACGAGCTGGTTGTTGTTTGGGAGCATAATAAATTATTCAAAAAAAAAAAAAAATTGCATTCACATTGTTCCGGAATTATAAAGAAAACGTACATGAACTGGATAAAACAATTTGTACATATTTGTTTATAGATACATGTTGTACGTAATACACAATATACATGAGGTCAGCCGGGATTTAATAATTGCAATATCTTTGCTGTTTCTAAATATATATATAAATATATTTTAAATCAGTTTTTAACCAAAATCAAAAACGTAATATTTTAGTTGATGAAACATAAAATATAAAAGGAAACTGAATTGTATACCCATTTTATATCGAATTTTAAATGTTATAGCAAACAGATAAAAATACTATCCATATTTTAATAGAATATAAACATTATTTGCGGTCTATCGATACATTTGAAACATTATTGACTTAATTTTCTGATTTTTGTAATAACTGTTTCTATAATAACAGACTAGAGAATTTCATAAATTAGTTATCTATATTACTATAGGATTTGGGTATAATTTAAAATATTATAGCTTTAATATAATTTTTTTTTTTTTTTAAGTAAAACATTAAAATCCTAGAAAGATAAAATTAATGCATTTAAGTACCTACTACACATTAAGCTTATATAGAAGTTTAATTAAATGCTTATTTATATCAGAAAACATATGAGCATATTTTTAATAGATAAAAATAAAAATCATTTGATCGTCGACGATATCCTGCATTTACTGTGTTCAACTGTAATTAATTTATAATTATAAAAATATAAAAATAGTGTCATATTAGTATTTGAATTAGTGAAAAATGTACTTCGCTTTATTTAGGAGGCGGATGCGATGAGATAAAAACAATGGTGATTACGCCGATTCAACTTCCACCATAACTTTTCACCGAGCGTGGGCTAAATTATTGGATACCGTACTCCGCGATTGATCATAATATAATCTCGTAAACATTTCTAACTTAACGCCATTACGCGATTAAAAAATATACAAAACACATATTATACTAAATGTTTGTTTTCGAAATAAACTTAACGTATTCCACAATATAATTTTTATTTATTTGTTGTAAACAGGTCATTACCCTTTGAAAAGTAGTATTACAGAAAAATCTTAAATAAAATATCAGAAATTTCTAACTAAAAAGTAAAAAAAAAAACAACTTTCTGTGATATTATTTACCTGAATAGAGACAAATAGTATCTGAGCGCCGTATCCAGATGCCCGTTGATCCACGGCTGCACGACAACGACAATCAACGGCCTTCCGTCCAGATCTCGGCCTCCGGGCACGGTGGCAACGCGCTCTTGGAGCACGGGTAAGATGTCGGCCGCCTCCATGCCACCACGTGCACTATGTACCGGAAAAATAAAATAAAAACGAATAAATAAATAAATTATCGATAGACGTCCACGGCGGTGATGGTATGCCCACACCAAGGGCGTACCAAAGGGTGGAAGGGGGTTCGCTTCCGAACCCCCCCATTGAAATTTCTACATACTCAATGATTTAATAGTAAATAGTATAATAATAGTACATAGTGTATTTTGATTTCCCATTATCTTCAATATACAAAGTATATAGAGTATAATATCTATATTATAGTATACCTATTATCATTGATTATATAATCAATGCTATTATGTATAAGCCATACGATAGTATATTAATATTAATTTATTGATATTGAGTTAAACTATAATTAAAATCAGAGAACAGATAAAATAAAAATTTTTGACCTCCCCCTCATAAAAATTCCTGAGTACGTTTCTGGCCCACACTGAAGAAAAATGTCAGTTCGATATTCCAGGAAATCCGGATGACGACTGCCGCGCCGCCGCGGAAAAACAAGTTCGTGTCGTGCGGTGCGTAGAATTTACAATGTATATAGACCTGAGGTATAAAATATTATACACGACCAAGGAAACGGCATCACGTAAAAAATATCACACACCCCATGGAAGGACACGCGAGCAGTCATCGACAACAATTATTGGATATCGCGTGTACGATAATACAGACGCACCGAACACTGGAACGTGATGACGAGTACCTAGCATAAATATTATTACCGTGAACTGATCGACAGAAATAATAAATTATTGTTGTCCAGCCATATTTGTATGATTGTAGTCATTTTTACGGTGTATCGTAGTATAAGTATTTCGGATCACATGCGCACTCGTTTTATGTTTGTGTACGCTGTGTACGAGATAAGTAAAACGATCGGTTTTCTTATTCGTTCCAAAGACCGTACAGAAATAATCATGCGCGTGCAGTACGCGTGCCACACAGCCATACATCGTGGATTCGAATTTATTTTTTTTATTTTATATAATATTTAATAGTTGTAACATTATAATAAAATTATATGATACGTATATTTTAATTGTATTGAAACATTATCTTTTGTTACTTTATTATAATATTGTACGAAATTTTTCACTTTTCACTTTATTCTCAAGGACTGCATATTTATTAAATATGTAATTTACCATAAGAATTTAATATAATGTATTTAATCTGGGAAGTTTCTTTGGAAATCACTATTTTTCTTCGAATACCTTGCAACATTATAATGTATGGAAGTTAATATGGTAATTTGATGTTAAGGAGTGTGTTTATACCATTGAGAAATGCACTAAATAGAACAATCACGTAGAGAGAATGGTGCGAATCTACTTTGTTCAGTCTATAGTCCATGTATATTTATAGATGGTTAAATTCTATTTTTCTCATTGAGAGATCGTCAGAGCGTAGTTGATGACAGTTCTTCCTACGAAAAATATCGAACCATGGACGCGTTGCAGTTGCAGTCACAGTGTGGTTTGATTTAAAATAAAAGAAAGACAGTTGGAAATGTTAAGCAACAAAAGATCGAAGAGGATGTAGGTAAGAAATTAGATACCAAAAATATATATCGAAGGAGTGCACGCTTTTCGTTTATTTTCTGTGGATTGCTTGCAGTCGAGTACATATTGAGAACTATTTATTATTTGGGTTTGTCGACAACGATGCAGTAATTTAGTTTTCACGATTATTATTTTTGTGTTGTATGATGCACTGCACTGTTGTTTATCTTGTATACGGATCTAAACAATTTAGATGTTTTTTTTTATGTTAAATGACGGATCTTAGTGGAATGTGAACCTATGTTATTATTGTCATTGTTTCAAGGCTATTTATTATATGAACGCAGGTATAGTTTTTAGTTTCGCGATGCTAAGTCAAAAACTTTTGGTATACTCAAGAGACTGACCACCCAGTATTGATTTCAGCATTGCGCCGAGCGGTCTGGTGGACGATTGCGAGAGGAATATGGTCTAGAAATGAAAATTAAAAAAAAAGGATTTAAAATCATCCACTCAATTTTTCTGTTATGTAATCCGCCGATAAACAAACCACGTCGGAAAAATGTATCACGTTGTTTTGTAGAAATCGGTTTCATCACACGTAGTACGCCACTATTAATGAAACTGTATGATCCAGTGGAATATATAGGTTTTTATTTGATTTTTGGGAGGAAGGAAAGGAGGAAGCACAATATTACGAAAAAAACTACTTGAACACTATAAGATTTCTCGACTGTCTTTACACCATTAAAGAAATAAGAAGCTCAATTTTTTTAATGATTTATAATTTTTTAAAAGTATAAAAACTACATAGAAATAAACAATTTTTTTTATTAGAGTGACTCAAAATTCGCCACATATTTTCTTAAAAGAATAAACATATTTTATAAATATAAAATATTAAAATATCACATAAGTAACATTCTCAGTGTCACGACAAATTTTCGGAAACCCCCAGCATTAAAACATAGCCATGTTAAAAATAACTTTCTTTAACAATGGTGTTTTTCATTTCGGAGGGGGCCCGGACCCCCTCGGCCCCCCATAAATACGCCCCTGGTATGACCCCGTATAGAAATTCCTACTTAATCACCTACACGACGTTACACTATGCTAAGTGACTTCATATGAATACGATATCTGTAAACATTTTCAGTACGTATCAACATTATGGGTTCTGTACGGTTGTAAAATACGTCGTCTTGCTTTAATCTTATTGTTTGTTTGTCTATCGTCACGTATTCCGATAGTAAAGACCGTCTACTTCGATTGTTTCCCGATAGAACTTTTAATAATTATTTCTATTATTATGTCAAAATACTATTGATTTTCAATAGACGGACGAAATAAAACTATTTTCATAAAAGAACTGCTGTATAATATTTAATCAGACTTCTACATTTTTTTTATAAATATATATATATATATAATTATTTATTATTTAAATATTCGTTTTATTACACTAGTCATGTATAAATATGTGTAATTCAATGGGTTTAATTGTCATTATCGCCTAATGAACTAAGACTAATCACAAAACAAACAATTTAATTATTCTATATCTCTTTGTATTTGTTTCGTGAATATATTTAATTATTTTATTACAAGTTACTTTAAACGTATTGTTACAATTTACAATAGATTCACGCGTTAACTATAAAAAAAATACGTGCTTTGCATCATAGATATTTTCTGATCACATCTCACGGCTTACGTTGAAATAAATTATGAAATATTCATTTTATCAACTGATTTTTATTCAAATTTATCAAGCGATAACAATTAATAATATTGTTTGAAATTTGCAAATCACCAAATACAACAGAAAGCAACCAAACAATGTTATAATTAATAGTTTGTTTATTTATTTTTTGTTTTGTATCATATAAATAAAATACTGGGTACCTTATTTTTTATTGATAATACCTAGTATTTGATTAAAATATATTAATTTGATACATAAATATAAAATATTTTTAAAGTTTATAGGTACTTATCCATGCATACAATTATTTTATTATTTTTAGTCGTCTATGAAATTGTTTAAAAGTTATAATTATAAAATATGATTAAAGTAATTGTAAACAATATTTTTCCAATAATGATATAGTTATATCTTATAGTTAAGTTATTCATTCTATAACAATAGAATAAAGAGAAATGTCTATAATAATACATCAACCTATACTTTTGACATCACAATGTACAAAGAAAAAAAATCTTTATTTAATATGAATTATACATAGACTTCATTAAATTAAAATTGTACACAACCATTTATACAATATATATGTATTATTAAAATTCTGCTTTAAAATTATGAATTATTTTATACATGGAAAAATGTTATATAATTATTGTGTAATGACTTAAAGGCTTATATAATATAAAAGTAATTCATAGAAGAAACTCATAAGACGGTATGAAAAGGAGTGTAAAATGATAAAAAAGCTTCCTTGTATAATGAAATTTCATTTTAAATAGCTATTACTCCATTAAAGTTAAATAGCTAACAGATTTCATTGCAATTGGACAACTATTTAGAACTTGCATTGGTTTTTGGTTATTATACTTTAAGTAGTTTATAAATCACAAAGGAAAATATTTGCAAAAAAAAAAAAATTAAACAAGCTATAATTTTTTTTATATATTATTTAAGCATGAATTGTAGAATTTAAAAAGAATTTTATGGAAAAAATAATTATAGTGAAAATTGCCTAAAACGGAATCGCCATGGGACTAACAAAAAATTCCGCTTTAAGTAGTTTACCGCTTTATTCAATAAAACGGAAAAATTCCCTTTTATACTCATATCGATCAGTTGATATTTTTTATAGACACTTATATTTTAGAATTTTAATATTTAATACGATTAACGGAAGATAAAATTATAAGTGTACGTACAGCTGTTGGTGTATGACTATTTCACAGTTACAAAGAAGAAAGTTCGTATCGTTTATGCGATAATATGCATTGTATGTACATATATTGTACGAATATGCATAGAAAATTTTTATCTTCTTTATCTATCACTATTTAACGATGTACATACAACGATGTGCATATCTATATTTTATGCCTTATTTTTGGTTTATAGTACACACGCGCGTGTCATTTTTCCGGTTTATGCAAGGTTTTTACTTGCATGGGACTTACAAAATCGTTCCGTTTCCGCGTTAAGAAGGTTCCGTTTTATTGAAGTTCAGCGTTTACATAAAACTATAGGAACGTGACGAGACTATAGAAAAATTCCGTATTGGATAATTTTCCGTTTTATTCAGGGTCCACTTTAGACAGTTTTCACTGTATTATCTTCTCTGTAGTAAGCTTAGAGTCAGTTCCTATTACTAATTGCAGTAATAAACTTAGTGAGCGAAAAAAAAAATTAAAGGAAAAAATGACTACAAAAACAAATACATACTTTCATTGATATCATACCTATTGTTTTACTCTTTTGTATATTTAAAAAAAATCAAATAAATAAAAATACATACTACAAATACGTTTATGCAAATAACGATTAATTATTTAAAATATTATCATTTTACGAAAACTATATTCCTAAATTATTGTGATACTTTAAGTTTTCATTATTACTATGAACGCATAACCTACTATATTGAACTTTTTTTTTCATATTAATGGTTTTATTTTTTAAATTTTTTTTTTATTTTTAGCAAAAATCGTACCATAATACGTTAGATTGTAGAAGGTGTTTGTTATTTTGTGATAAATTTATCAGTTAATCGAAGTACGTGATTTTAAATGAACAATAAAGAAACCCCATACATGTATTATATAGGCACCATATGTGTGTGTTAGACGTTACACATTACACGCGTAGAACTTAATTAGGTACACGTATTTAAATATGAATATAAACACACACACATACAAACAAGTGTACGTACAATTTATAAAGAAATGCGTCGTTATGATAGAAATTAATATACACGCAATATTATTATATATTTACCGCGTCTACATATAGCTACGCATAGCTACTGAAATATGTATTGGCGCGATTAACACACGAGCCATTAAGCCGGAGAAAACACGTTAACCTATATTAACACAAGAGTCAATAAAGGATATAAAACGATGTGATAGTAATAATAGTTATAATAATATCGTTCTCTGCGAATATTAGTATATATCTCGGGATTTAGAATATACCTGTAAAGTGTACTGCACTCTCTAAACATTTAAAGTGTCGCGGTCTGCACATTTCGCACATATTACTACTGTACATTATAATATAGTTTAACCCTATGCACGTCGAGTTCGTAGTATTTGCTACGTCATTATGCTACATATTAACTACTATAGTTAAAAAAAAAAAAATAACCATCGAACATGTAAAAGTGCCGAAGTAATCAACTTTTATGGTCGACAGTAAAAAAAAAAACGGTTTTCTAAACGCAATAATAATAATAAAAATATTATAAACACGTCGTCGGAAATACGGTTGGTTCACTGTGTGTGCCGTATCAACCAACGGTCATTTTTTTTTCTTTTATCATCGGTAGTCATGTACAATAACGTTTTCTTTCGTTACGACGACGTACGGCGGTGCAGTACTACGCATTTCTAACCTTCGTTGTGTGAGTTAAAAATTCTTCGTAAATAATAATGGGAAAAATTTGCTCGCTGCCCGACAAAGGGTTGAACGAAATCAGTAACGTAATAAACAAAAACACACGTGGGTGATGTCTTGTGCGTCGATGCTATTCATGTTCGGGGAACAATGACATTATTATTATTATTATGATCGTGTAGGAATAGGTATAGCGAATAGCCGACGTGTAGCAGAGTAATTTTCACGAAGCGCATCCCGGATCGGTCGGAGACCCACGACAATGACGACGAAAACCGAAATTATAACTATGTTTTTTAATGGTATTGTTATAACTGCAGGAAACAAATTACCGTGCAGGTGTAATTAATTCGAACACGTGTCTCGGTTCGACCGTTTTTTAACCGTCAAAAACGCATTCAAGGCGAATATTTTGTACATAATCTTAACTCTTAACCGTTTTTTTTCCAAATATGATACCTAATACAATATTAAGCAAACAAAACACGTTAAACCTCAACATCCGCGTTTGGCCTAAAAAATATAATATTATATCAATTATTTTTCCTTTAGTCTATTTTAACTTTTTATTTATTTTATTCAATAAATTTCTATTTTATTATTTTGAAAGAGATGATCGAAAAACATTATGTTTATTCATATTGATCACAAAAATAATCGATATACAGTAAAAGTTGTACTGCACAACGCTATTATTATACATTTATATATTATAACAACAGAAAACAACATTTAACAGAAAATATTAGCACTAGACAAATTAAAAATCCCGTGAGTTCATGAAAAAAAAATCAATAGAGTGTTGAGTAAAATATGGCTAATCTCTAAAGGAATGTTTAATATTATAAAAGAATAAAAAGAATAGATATAAAGGACAGTGAGAAAAAGTAAACGTGATTGACGTTTATATTCTTGTAAAAAGGTCAGTCAAAAGAATTTGATTGGCATCAAAAACTGGAATTGTATATATGTGCAAAGAGATATTTGCCATTTCCTGTTCGCATGCATTAAAATTAAATTATATTTAATCGTAGGATAAAAATATTAGATATCAAATTTTAATAGCTAAAAGTATAATACATGTTAGTTTTATATATCAGCAATTAAAAAGTATTTTATAAACTCGATAATATGGTTATTTGAAAATATTTAATTATTTAATACGTATTGCGATTGGGTGGCTAAATCTACATATATTAGTCATTAATGTTAACTCTAACAGCAGTTGCCACTTAGACGTGAATATTCTGAAGTGTTTATTTATTTTCCAAATACATTTTGTTTTGAAACAGAACCGGTCGCATGAATTGGATAAGACCAAGGATGAAGCAAAGTGTTTACAATGAAAAATCTAAAATCAAATAATGTCGAACAGTTGTGTTAATATAATTTAAAATCCTTAGATAAAACGACGATTTTAATATAATGAGCAAAAAAAAAAATTCAAATGTTTTCAATCTATGGATGTCTTCATAATGACTCTGGAATTATTATAATTATAAAAAAAGTGTTACGTTAATTTAAATTTATTTATTTATGTTAAAAAAAAAACCTAATATATAGAATTTTATATTTAGGTTTGCTGGTGCTCATTTCTAGTATAAAATATAGTTCTCTGAAATGTAATTTTTAAATAAGCCAGTTAAAAATCCCTATGGTTTGTAAATAAATGAAATACCAGCAGTTATCGTTTCAATACGGAAAAAGAACTGCGTAATACGTTTCAAAAATCGGATAAAAGAACACTTTTTGCTGGCAAACCCGGCAACGTTTTTCGTACGATCCCGTCGAGAATTCGCAACCATCTCGGCGGTGCCCACGGTAACACGACGTAAAATCGTTAACGCGACAGCGAGTACGAACGATAAGACAACGGACGTAGTAAACACAAAACGGAACTCATAACTAATGCACGTAAACAGTACGCAGTTAGGTACCTGCAGCGTCGTCAGGATGTGCACACGGGTACGGCGGCTACGTGGTGCCCGGGCTCGATGAATCCTCGCGATCTCCTTGCCGCCGAGCAATATCCGTACGGTTCACATCGCGAACACCGAAAAACTTCGTTTCGAAAACAACGTACCGTGCACGTGCACGCGTGTGCGTGTACAAGATAGAGGAGGAGACAAAAACAAAAAAAAAAAAAAAAACTGTACTGGAAGGAATTTAAAAATCAAAAAAAAAAAATCAACGGTTTTCCGGCGCACTCGCTCGGTAGGCGTGTGCAATGTACTCGCGGCACCGACGCGTACGTACGGAACTTTTACACTCGGTCGTTACACCACCGCGGAGCGCGCACTGCAGGTCTCGAGATTACTGGTCGTCGGCGCGCCGATGGGGAAAATAAAAAAAAAAAAACAAGGAGACCGCACGAGAAAACCTGTTTGCCGATGCTGGCGGCGACGACGACGGTGGCACGGCGGCACACGGGCACCGGCCAGGACGGTCGAACAGCTGATACCCGCGCTCCGTACGATATACCTGTACACGTCGTCCTGTTGTACACGCGCGCCCATGGTGAGGACCCACGCCCCGTTTACACGGTGTTGACATACTTCTCCCTGGCCCCGACCCGAACGCGTGAGAGAAGGAGCGACGGGCGGAGAGGTATTATAAATACACGCGTGTACGTTCACTGTACGCGCGCGTTAACAGGAGAAGAAAAAAAATAATAAAATTATAATATGTGGCGATACCTTACGTTCCAGTCAAATCCGTATTGTGTTCCGAACGGATGATTCTCTCGTGTCTCCACCGTTGATGCGACGCGGTCTTTCTTTTCCATCCGTGTACGGCACACACGGACGCGCGTACTATTATTGCGTGTCCCCGTACACCGCGTTTTCGTTGAAACTTCCGTACTTGGCTGGACGGTACTCGCCGGCAGGGACCAAACTAATTGCGATCCACTGCACGTGACACGTGTTGTTCGCGATTGGAAATGTGTACTTTCCGAGGTGTGTATGCAATATTATTGAATAGGTATGTAATAAAAACGTTGTGATCATTTCCTAACGTTTTTCTTTCCAATATTATTTACATCGCCGGTTGAAATATGCAACGGATGTACAGAAAAATCACTGCGAGGGAAGCATAATAAGATTCGAAAAATAATCTTCCTCTATGCATTTGTGATGAAAATTAAAAATACGAAATATTACGAACATCGTAAAATCACGTTTTACATACTATATAATATCTAATAAGAATTATTAAAATAACCCTTAAGATACATTGAACAATGTGTATTTCTTTGTAATATTTCCTGGAATTAATGTTTATAACGCATGTAAGGTCAGTTTTTACGTTTCGCTTGCCGACTACAGTATTATAATAAACACCATAATTCAATATCAAGAAATTGGAAAATAAATCGTTGGAAGAAATATAATAAATAATAACTTACCGAAGAATGGAAAATAAAATCATGAGGCAAATGTTTCACGAGAACTCAGCAGCTAATTGTAGTTTAAATTTGAAAAAGTTCGTGCATCAATAATTTTTAACAACTTATTTGTGTCCGTAGACTGTAATTCTATACTCTGCAGGCTATAGCAGACTGAAAGTGGAAATCAATAAATCATTCTGCGGATTTCATTATAACAATAAATAAATCCAACTGGTGTGATAAGAACCTATAGGTAATAGAAGGCGGTTTCCGATATTACGTAGCGAAATACAGCAATAACCATAAAATAAAATTAAACATTTTAATAACCGCGGTTCTTTACGAATAACTTCCTATTAATTTATTTTAATTATACGTCGACGAAAAAATAATAACTATATATACCACCCTCTGATTGGAATTAAATAAAAAATTTCAATTAATTGTACGTCCTCCGTACAAATATATAATAATAAGTATAAATGGATAACAGTAGATATAGGTTTTGCAAATTACTTATAATTATTACTCGGCAGGATCATCTGAAACATTGGCTACCACTGCATGACGAAAACCGATAACCGAGTACCTATCATAGTAAACTTAGAATTCAATGCGGACTTAAGCCCACCATGATAGAGCATTGTTTGGTTGGCTTCGTTTGTTGAGAAATTGATACATGTCGTATTCGTTCGAATAGAATGCCTAGAAGTATCATGTTATCCTGTTCCGACGTGTGTTAATACGATTACACATCATAAATTGATAAGCAACGACAACCATTGTTTAAACATTTTATAATAAAAACATAAATATATATAAATTTATTACATTTTATATATTATTGTTCGGGATCGAAAGAGTTAAAAGGCTAGAGGCTGCGGTCACATATGATATAGAAACGATAACTAACTTTAAATTTTTATCTCTTATACCTACATTTTTATGTCAGTACGTTGCAAATACCAATCATAATTATTCATATGAGATTCTAATAATAATTGGGTACAACAATTATTAATTTGTTGGGTGCAAAAACCCCACGCATATGTTATACTATAATTTATACACATAATCTTTTTAAACCAACAGTGGAAAATGATCCATGGACTTGAACCGACAGCACATGGGACCGACAGTCAATGGGTCGACATAAATAGAAAACTTTATAATTTTTACATTATTAATTAGATTTATATATATATGCTTATATAATCCACTGAATAAGCTAATAACCAGTAGAGATAGAAATTATTGATAGCACAAAATTAACAACACATGAATTTTACGAATTTATAAGCTATTTTAAAATATAAATATATTATAATATTTTAAGTTTTAATCATTATAAATTTATTACTGTATATTTTAAAATCTTCTCTTCATTTTTAAATAAATATTTTATTAAGATTTTTAATTAATATACAAATTAATTTTTCTTGTATATAATTGGTAAATCAATACTAGTCTTTAATCAATAATTACAAAATCAATATTTTTTTAAATCTCAGTAAAATATATCAATCCAAGTAAAGGAAATTGAAATTTCAAAATAGAAAACATACAAGGTATATGACCTGAAGGCTGATCATGTTGTAAATCGACCAAACCTAAGCAATAATACTAATAATTATTTATTAAACTACTTTTTCAGGAACTTATTTTTACGTCTGATAATATTTATTGATTAAGTATGTACCAATAACAACGTATTTGTTTTTTCTTTAATTAATGTAATTAAACTCTAAAAATAATATTTATACATATGTATTTTTCTATGTAGGTATGTATTTATTTTAACGATGAAGTAATAACATATACGAGTACATACATTAAAAATTTGATGCAACAATATAATTTGTAAACCTAAATCACACGTGCTAAACGAAGTCATTACCTCTATTAAAATTATACATAATATAATGAATGTCATAAAAATATTCTTTCAGCAAATAATATATGTTTGTAATACATTGAAACGTTGTGTAAGTGTATTTCGTTGTTTTAACGGATTTCAAGTTCTAAACGAATAGTATTAATTGTTGAACAAGGCAGGGTAAACATATATGTATTCTGAAAACGTTATCATGAGTCATGTACTTATATACTATTATACTGCGTACATAGACATTAGAAACGTATTTTGAGTTTGAAACTGTATAAAGTAATAAATAAAAATTATTATTTAAATTATTGAAACTGCACAATATATACTTATATGATGCTTAAATACGGTTACGCAGTAATAAGTGTAGTATTTAAATTTATCAATACTGTATAGTTGGTAATGTTCAGAAATGTATATACTTGTATAATTTAAGCAACGCCTTTTAATCGACAGTCACATTATAAATATTTAGACTAAACAGATATTATATATTCTGCATCTCTAAGAAAATTATATTATAAATATAATATTTGTTTTACTTATTTTTGGTAATATTATAACTAAATATTGTGAATAATTGAAAAATATTGATTTATATCAGGGTAATCTAACCTTTTGTAGTTGGTTGACCAATTTACACTTTCATTAAAACACTGGAGGACGCAAAAAAAAAAAAAAAAAATGATATTATTATCCAGTAAAACTCACAGTCAATAATTGCCGCCTAACAATGACTATTAAGTGGCGATTTAAATAACTTTCACGATTTGCTACCACAAGAATTCTGATTTGCTATGGCTGCTTTACAAAAATGATACCTACATACATATGTAATAAGCTGGATTTAATCATGGTTTTGGACGTTACTCACTGTACGTATCTACATTTCATAGCGTAAAACATAAAAAAGTATACGACTATACAACGATTTTTTTATAATATTATTGTGACTTTTTTTTTTAATATAAATCTTCTATGATGAAGGCCAAAAAATAGGCTTTGAGAGCCACGGGTTGGACTACCCTGATTTAGATGATTAGTTAATAATTGTCAGTATTTATTCTATTTTTATTGTTAGAGTAATTAATAGTCTCAAACGATAAAAATTATCTTAATATCTATATTCAATAAGTAAAATATAGAAAAAAAAACTCAAGATTTTTGCAATATTATATTATTTCTTTATTGATAAATAAAATAATTTGAATTTAGTTCAACTAAACTTAAGTTTAAAATTAATAGACTTTAAATAAATTCTAAATATTATTAATATTGACGTGAAGAATAAAGAAATAATTAACCAGTTACGGTAAGTCTATATTATACAATGCGAGGACGTTTATATACATACATAACACTATTACTATCCTGAATTAAAAAAAAATTAAAGCGGGAAAAGTAATCGTTAACCATAGAGATTTAATAAATCGTACATCGTTAATCAACAAGAGCTTGCCGTTATACGCATATTAAGATCTGAATAAAGCGAAGGAAATCATTACACATAGTTATATACACTATAAAATACATAAGTATATTATATTGTGTTTTTCTGTTACAATCAGACTATAAACGTAAAAAAATGTATTCATTTTTTTCTCACTTTTTACTATTAATATCAAACGTGATTTCAGCTAATAATTGTATAAATAAGATACAAATCAAGTAATTTCAAGACTAAACATCCGATTACCTATTATATACCTATGCAGCATGTTGCTCTGGACTGAGGTCAAAAACTGATGGTAAGTCCAATCCTAAGCTGATAACTAAACATCAAAAAATGATGTGAACAGCAACAATATAATAGTACATCGTCGTCATATGCAATAGTTATATACTATTTTAGGACCCTTGGTTTAGCCATATGGAATGTATTTAAAATAATTGTAAACTCTATAAATATATGAAAGAAAAGCACATACAACATTTATATTGTTATTTAAACTTTTCCTTTGTTTAATCATCTTGAAAAAGATATATGTATATCTAAAAACGTATACCGAACGGATACAACATAAAATAAATAACTTTTGGTTTATTCTTATATTATAATTGCATATTTATATTAACAAAAAATATAAACCATTAAATTTCAAGTCACAAATGAAAATAGAGTAACTTTCTTTTTATAACAACGTTACACTTAATGCCTCCAAATTTTGCTATT